CCTGGGATGAAAGGGAGGTGTGGGGAATGAGGGATGAAAGGGAGGTGTGGGGAATGAGGGATGAAAAGGAGGTGTGGGGAATGAGGGATGAAAAGGAGGTGAGGGGAATGAGGGATGAAAGGGAGGTGTGGGGAATGAGGGATGAAAGGGAGGTGTGGGGAATGAGGGATGAAAAGGAGGTGTGGGGAATGAGGGATGAAAAGGAGGTGTGGGGAATGAGGGATGAAAAGGAGGTGTGGGGAATGAGGGATGAAAGGGAGGTGTGGGGAATGAGGGATGAAAGGGAGGTGTGGGGAATGAGGGATGAAAAGGAGGTGTGGGGAATGAGGGATGAAAGGGAGGTTTGGGGGAATGAGGGACTTGTCAGGGAAGGGTTTTCCATGAGGATTGCACAGCTGATCCTCAGCCCCAGGGATTGATGCACACAGCTCGTCCCGAGCTGCTCTTTGTTCCCCTCACACAAAGGGTGAGTGAAGGGAAGATGGAAGGAGTGTCCTTGTTGCAAACACCTGAGAAATGGTGAATTGTGGTGAATTTTGATTAAGGTGTGTTAATTGATCATCCCAGCTGGCATTAGCCCCCATCAATAATGAAAATGGTGATGAAAGAGAGACAAATGTTGTTGTCTGTACAGTGGCAGAGCCAGAAGCGTTGGACCCATGGTTTTCCCAGCAATTTTGGTTTCCTTTCATTTGTTTTCTTGGGGACCCTGGGCACAGAGCCCCGTGTGGAGCCAGGGCTGGGCTGGAGCTGCTCCTGAGGGGCTGCAGGGAGGAGTGCAGTGGGAAATGGATTGTTCTGTGATGGGACATCACCAGGGTTATTCAGTTGTAGGACACCACCAGGGTTATTCTGCTCACAGAGAATGAGGCAAAGGATGAGGCTGTGGTTTTGGGGAGGTTTCCAGCAGCAGCCTCTGTGAAGGGGTGGGTGTTAAAGGACATCACCCCATGCCCTGAGCACTGGGAGGTCAGGGTCAGCCTGGGAGGATTTGGGGAGGATTTGGAGAAGGGAAATGGGAGAGGAGGGGTTAAAGCACCAGCCCAGCTGGAGTCAGGGATCCCCCACAAGCCCCTCCTGAACTGACCCAGTCTGGTTCCTCACAGCCCCAGCAAAGGCTGCTCCTGAGGTTCACCCAGGCCAGAAATGGTGATCCAGGGAACCCCAGAGCACAGAACCTTCCCCCAAACCCCACAGCCTGCCGGGGCACTGGGATGGAGCTGGGACATCTGCACCTCCCTGTGCTCCGACAGCCAGGGAGGAGCTGGTTCTCCGTGATTTTATTCATTAATCACCTCTTCACACCCTTGAGATATCCTCCTGCAGCTCTACAGTTAATTAAACCCTCACATTGTTTCTCTTCTGGGGGTGCTGGGTGTTCTGCTCCTCCCAGGAATTCCACTGTACAAAGCACAGCATCCCTGCAGGGCTCCTGCTCTGAGACAGAGACAATTGTCATTCCCAATCCACAATTGCCATTCCCAATCCACAACTGCCATTCCCAATCCACATTGTCATTCCCAACCCACAATTGTCATTCCTAGTCCGCAATTGTCATTCCTAATCCACAACTACCATTCCCAACCCACAACTGTCATTTTCAATCCACAACTGCCATTCCCAATGCACAATGGTCATTCCCAAAGCACAACTGCCATTCCCAATGCACAATTGTCATTCCCAACCCACAACTGCCACTCCCAATGCAATGTTTCTGCACCCATCCCAGCACAAGAAAAATCTGGTGCAGAGAGTCCAGAGTGCCCTGCTCTGCAGCCAGGCTGGGAGAGCTCACCTGGAGCCCCTTCCAGACCAATTCCAGCCATAAACACCCAAACTTCATTTTCTTCGTTTCACCACCGACCTCTGCTTTCTCCTGAGCAGAGAAAACTCCATTTGCAATTATCCATGGGAACGAGCCAGGCTGTTCTAGGGCTGCCCTTGGATACCATCAGACTGTAAATGCAAGCTCTGAAGTGCTCAGAACCTGCCACTTCCACGCTTCAAATACACAGGAACACCAGAAAACAAACCAAAAAACCAAAAAATCAAAATAAAACAAAAAAAAGCCCCCAAAAATAAAATAACCCCAAAAAATCCCAGGGGCAATCTCCCCTTCCCTGAGGGTTTCTGAGAGCCCCTCAGCAGTCAGAATTCCTGCTGTTTCTCCTCTCCCAGGCTGATATTTCCCCCCACACAGTTTGCTGTCTGTTCCTTGGCAGGAAGGTGCTCTCCCTGAACTGCCCCAGGAGAAACTGGGCTCAGAAACGCCCATCAGAGGAGCTCCTTGTTATTTAAACAATCATTATGAAGCATCTAGTGGAAAAGGTCTGTTCTATGCTGACAGCCCCTACGGCTGATGGCTCCAGTGAAGGATTTCAGCATGAGCTGCACGCTGTAAAATCCATGGCATGGCTGGGTTGGAAGGGACTCCAGTTCCCAGAATTCAAATCTCATTTTCTGGGGGTATTTGATCCCAGCAAGGGCCAGCTAAACAAGGCAATTTGGTCCAAAGCCTGGGGATGCAGCATGGAAAATACAACAGCAGCTGATTTACTCCACAGCCTCAGAAATGTTTTCACTCCAAGCCTGGCAGACAAATGGGGAGCTCAGCCCAGGATCTCCAGCAGAGCTGTAGAAACAATTGATTTTCCAGTTCAGTAGCCAAATTGGAAAAGTAAATAGTTTGAAATTACCCAGAATGGGGCTTTTTGTTGGTTTTCTTGTTGAATTGAAACATGGGCTGAGGAGCTGCAGCTTCCCCAGCAGCCTGGGCAGGGGATGGGATTTCCAGCAAACACAGGGATGGTGAGGATTGAGCACCCTGACCCCTCCAGAAAAGGGTTCTTGTCACCACCCTGAGCCTGGTGGGAGGAGAGTGGGGGCCCTCTCCCTGCTCCTGCTCCCATGGGCTCCATCAGCTGAGAAAAGCCAGGGCCAGGTGCCCTCCCACCAGCCCTGCCTCACTCCAGGGGATGGAATTATTCCCACAGGAATTATTGCCAATGGAATTGTTGCCAATTTAATTATTCCCACAGGAATTATTCCCAGTGGAAGTATTGCCAATGGAATTATTGCCAATGTAATTATTCCCACAGGAATTATTCCCACAGGAATTATTGCCAATTTAGTTATTCCCACAGGAATTATTGCCAATGGAATTATTGCCAATGGAATTATTCCCACAGGAATTATTGCCAATGAAATTATTGCCAATGGAATTATTCCCACAGGAATTATTCCCAATGGAAGTATTGCCAATGGAATTATTGCCACAAGAATTTTATTCCCAATGGAATTATTGCCGATGGAATTATTGCCGATGGAATTATTCCCACAGGAATTATTATTCCCACAGGAATTATTGCCAATGGAATTATTGCCGATGGAATTATTCCCACAGGAATTATTATTCCCACAGGAATTATTGCTGATGGAATTATTCCCACAGGAATTATTGCCGATGGAATTATTCCCACAGGAATTATTATTCCCACAGGAATTATTGCTGATGGAATTATTCCCACAGGAATTATTGCCAATGGAATTATTGCCAATGGAATTATTATTCCCACAGGAATTATTGCCAATGGAACTATTCCCACAGGAATTATTCCCGATGGAATTATTACCAATGAAATTAATCCCACAGGGATTATTGCCACAGGAATTATTATTCACACAGGAATTATTGCCGATGGAATTATTATTCCCACAGGAACTATTCTCAATGGAATTATTCCCAATGGAATTATCGCTGATGGAATTATTCCCGACGGAGTTATTCCCAAAGGAATTATTATTCCCACAGGAGTTATTCCCTGGTTTCCGATTATTAAAAATTACTGAAAAAATTATCTCTGTTTTGAATCACAAATGAAAAATCTGTGAGTTCTGATTTATATTTATTTAGAAAGATAATAATCTCCTAAAGATAATAAGAAATGCTTTACCAAACACTTGGAGATGGTCTTTCCAGTATTTTCTTAAAACTAATCAAGTTCGAAATCCCAAGTTTCCTTTTATAAACAAGGTCATAAAATGCCTTAAAAATCTCCCAGGAAATTCATGGAAATTTATTCAGTCTGGTATGAGAGAGTAAATCTCTGTTATGCTTGTGGATCCTTCCCCAATCCATGTACATTTTAATTAAGCCCATTAATTTTACAGGATTGCTGCTTGTTTGTTGCTGGATTGTTGCTCTGAAGAAAGCAGCTTTTTTTCTATGGAAATTAAATTCCAAGAACTTCAAAGTAAGGTTTTATAACAACCAGCACTGAAACCAGCACTGAGAAACACAAAACGTTTTCTGCTGCATAGAAAGCTTGGTTTGGTTTTCTTGTTTGTGTAACACCATGGAAAAATTATTTATTTTATTACTGGTCCACTGGGAAAATCTACATGTTTCCTCATGCTCAGTGTCATTCCAAAGGATCCTGATCCATTACCTACTATCTAAGATTATTGGAAGAATTTCCATCTGTCATTGTGGCTTCCAGGCCAAATTTCCTAATTTTCCGGTCATTATTGATTTGATTTTTTGCAGCAACTCTTCCACCTCTGATGTTCGATTTTATCTCAATCTTTACCAGCACTCAAGAACTCAAAGCCAATTAAAACATCCTCAGGGAAAAATGGATTTGTAGTTTGACAAATATTCCATGAAGCTGCTCAGGACTGGGATTGAAAGCTTAGAAGCCTAAAAACAAGGAATGGTTTGGGCTGGAAAGGACCTAAATCCCATTCAGTGCCATGGGAGGGACACCTTCCACTGTCCAGGTGCTCCCAATGTCCAGCCTGGCCTCGGGCACCTCCAGGGATGGGTATCCACAATTTTCCTTGGATATTATTCTCCCTATTGGCACAAAATCCACACAAAACCCATCACACAACAAGTTCAGCCAAGCAGACTTGAAAATCTCTGTGCTTTCTGTCTAAATTACCGTCAGCATTGGAAAAAAAAAAACAAAAAAACCAACCAAAAAACAGCTTGCTTCAGTGCAGGGACTTAAATTGTCAGAAGAATTCCTTGTGTCTCCATAAAGGCAACATAAATCCTGGCAAAAGCCATTCTCCACCCAAAACAACTCATTCTCCAGGTTGTGTTTTCCCAGGCTGCCTCCGGAACCTGTCTGGGAGGAAAATGAAGAACGAGTACATGAAGGAAATCATAATTTACAAGATGTTCTGAAGCCAGGCTGCATTTAAAACAACTGGAATTTGAGATTCGCTTGTCAGGGAGAAAAAAAAAAAAAAAAAAAAAGAGCTAACAAGGAAACCATGTAAATGCAGTGCGTTTGTTGTGCTCCTGCTAAAAATGCTGGAGGTGTCTGACAGATCCCCATAATGAGCTCCCATCTGCAGGTGGAAGGAAAGGGAAACTCGTTCAGGGCTGCAGGGAGTGGGAGAGCAGGGAAAACCTGGAAAAGCAGGGGCAGCACCAACAGGAGCTCTGAGCCCCGCTGTGTGTTTTCCTTGGAATCCAAGGAATAAACTGATTATTTGTTGGGAAAATAATTCAGTGTCAAGGAGGGGAAAGGCTCATGGCTTGTGAGGTTTGTGCCCTCTGGAAGTAGCATTGTATTTATTCAGAAAGATGATAGCAGAGGTTTGTGCCCTGTGGCTCTAAGAGAAGCAGATCCCAGAATCCCAGACTGGTTTGGGTGGGAAGGGACATGGAAATCCACCCCTAAATCCCACCCCCTGTCCCTGTCCCACATCCCTTGGGCACTGCCAGGGATCCAGGGGCAGCCACAGCTGCTCTGGGCACCTGTGCCAGTGACACAGAACAGGGTGAAAGACCCAAAGTAGCAAAGTTGAAGGAAAATGTTTTCATATATTATTTTAAATAAAATTCCTGCCAGCTAAGAGCAAAGCCAAGCCCCAAAGCCTTGAGGTTCTCCATGAGTGCAGAGGGAGAGCATCCTAGAGTAAATCCGGGCTTGATCCACACAGGAGCTGGACTCTGTGGGTCCCTTCCAGCTCAGGATATTCCAGTTCTCCTGCCTGGCACTGCCACCTTCCCCTCCCACCCTGTGCACACCACTCGTGGCTCTTGCCCCTCCAGTCCCAATTCCAAAGTGCATTTTTGTGCCATTCAGGCGTCCAAGGTCCCTTTTTTGGGCTCTCTCCTTTCCTTCACCAGAAAATAACATCTTCTCTCAATCACAAAACAAACAAGGTCCAGCTAAACCTCACAGAATTGTGGAAATCCTGAGGGATCACCCAGTCCAGCTCCTGACCCTGCACAGGACACCCCAAAATCCCACCCTGTGCTGACAGCACTGTCCAACCCCAGCAAAGGCTTGCCCATGGTGAATTAAATCAATATTTGGGAGACAAAATCTCGGTCCTACACTATTTTGTCTCCCCCACTGCCAGTCCAGGCCTCAAAAATCAAGCAAAAATCCCAACTCCTCCTTCCACCCTCACTCTAAACCCTCCCAACAATTGCTCCTCTCCATTTCCAGCTCTTCGCCCAAGGCTCCTAAAACATCGTACGGGGATTTGGGAGCCCCATTTGAAACAAATTGTTTTAATTAAACCAGTAATTTCCAACCCCGGGAGATGTAAACTATTAAAGAGCTGCCAGGAGGGAGAGGCGCTGATGGAGAGCAGTGAGCAATTACAGCCAAGCTGCTGCTGGTTCTCTGGGAGAAGGGCTGGGAAAGCAGAGCCAGGCGTCCCTCATCACCCCCAGAGCCTGCCCAGAGCCCAGGATCCCCCTCCCAGAAAGGCTCAGCATCCCCAGAGCTCAGGATCCTCCTCCTAGAAAGAACACTCAGCTGGAAATCAACCAGAGAGCGGCATCTAAAAATAAATATATTTGCAATTTCCACTCTGATCTGCTGAAGTGCAGAAGCAGAGACTCATGGAATGGTTTGGTTGATAAGGGACCCCAAACCCCCCCAGTGCCACCCCAGCCATGGCAGGGACACCTCCCACTGCCCCAGGGTGCCCCAGTGTCCAGCCTGGCCTTGGGCACTGCCAGGGATCCAGGGGCAGCCACAGCTGCTCTGGGCACCTGTGCCAGGGCTGCCCACCCTGCAGGGAACCATTCCTGCCCAATATCCAATCTAAATTTACCTTTTTTCAATTTAGCCATATTTCAGCATTTCAGGGACTTACCCTTCTCAAGAAAACCACCCTGTTCTGGAAGCCAGGAGATCCAAATTTTACTTCCAGGCACCATCATCTCTCCTGAAATAATCCAGAATTACCTATATTTGGAAACACACACAGAAAAGAAATAAAAAATTTACAGCCATTTTTGCAATGTGGATTGCTAGTGAGGAACAAAATTCAGTTTGTGTTCAACAACTCAGCTTCTCAGAGTGAGAGGCAAAGCATGGGAGCGCAACTCCCGAGGGAGGAAAAAGTAAGAAAACAAAAAATTGAAAACCCCAGAACTTTTCCCAACCGAAATCTCCATCTCTTTCCTGTCAATCACGGGCAGATTTCCCCTGGGTTTCTCCTCAGGGAGCCCAGAGCAGCTCTGTGCACCCACAGCCCCCAGAGCCGCTCATTGCTCCTGGGAATTCCGTCAGCCGCCAGCTCTGGAGACAGCCGGGAGGAGAAAAGTGGGATTCTTGTTAACAGCTCCCTCCTTGCTCACTGCAGGCTCGTTACATCCCAGCAATATCAAGCAGCTGTTCCAGGCAGTGCCATGTGGAGCCTTTTCCCTCCTCTCACAACCCCGGCGTCACCAAGGCACACGAGCGGGTGGCGCCGCACTTTGTCACAGACATCTTTTATGGAAAATACTTTCTTTAGGATTTTTCCTCCTGAGAAGCCTCAGGAACAAAATGCAAACAATGGTTATCTGCTGCTGTGGGATGCAACAGGGGCATCTGGGATTGGTCTCATGGGGTTGTTTCTAATTAATGGCCAATCACAGTCAGCTGGCTCGGACTCTCTGTCTAAGACACAAACCTTTGTTATCATTCTTTGCTATTCTATTCTTAGCTGGCCTTCTGATGAAATCCTTTCTTCTACTCTTTTAGTATAGTTTTAATGTAATATATATCATAAAACAATAAATCAGCCTTGTGGAACACGGAGTCAGATCCTCGTCTCTTCCCTCACCCTGGGACCCCAGTGAACACTGTCACAGTACTTCACCCGTAACTCTCCTGCAAGAACTAAACAACATTAAACAGAATTACCAGGGCTGGAATCACGGGCACATCAGGCCTCTTAGATCCCACTGAAGGATGTTTAAGCAGACATCCCACAAGGGCAAGCAGACAAATTGAGGTTTCCCGCTGCAATCCCGGGGACAGCGGGAGAATGCTAAGCAGGGATCCAAGCGACGCGGCGCAGCAAAGCGTTTTGCCTCATTTTTAATTTAAATGTAGTTACAGAGATGGGGAGCCTGGAGGCACCAATCAAAGCCCACAGGATGATTAAGTCCTCTGAGCACACCGAAATCACCACTGCCCAGCACCGCTCCAGTCGTCCGAGGAGGAATTCTCTCAGCACAAAGTCGCTTGCTGCCTTTCATTTTTTTCAAAGTGTTTTCAAAAAACACGATTTCTCTGTGGCAAAGGAACCCTTTGAAGCGGCCCAAATAGCCTTTGAAGTGAAAATAGAGGAGTCATTCTGTATTCATGCCCCCTTTTTCCCTCTCCCCCCTCCCAAAAATGAAGGTGTAGGACTTGGTGAAAAATTCATGTCCTGGAATAGGCGGCCTCGGCTGGTGACATCAGAGGCATTCAGGGGAACAAAACGGCACTAAAATGGGAGTGGAGAGATCCTCGGGTGCAAATCAAAGACTCTGGATGGAAATGCTGCTTAATTAGTGCAGATAAAGAGGCACGAACTGGCAGGCAGAAGGTGGCAAGGCAGAAAATTCAGGAGGCATTAATGGGCTGGTGAAAATGTCGCTCTTTGGAGCTGCCAGCCTCGCTTAGAAAGCTAAAAAATTTATTAAACCTCGGTGAATGTTGCTTTTCTCAGTCACAGAGGCCATTAAGAACTCCGGGAAGTGGCGGATGCCACACAGTCCATTAGCAGCTGGATGTTAACGCTGTTCTCTCCCTCCTTCCATCCCCATAAATGTATTTCTCTCCTCTAATATTTCCTAAGAGGCTCCTGTGGCACAGATTTTCCCTTGCACGTCTTTCCTCAGCCTCAGAACAAATGAGACTGGCTGGTCTCACTCAGAAACTGAAAGTTTTCAGGTAGTTCTCTGCGGAATGATGAAATATCCCACAGGTTCCAGAAAGCAATTGGTAAATACAGGCTCCTGCCTCCATAAAAAGCAATTTATTAAACACAAATGTTCGGCAATGTGAAGTGTTTTACTGCTGCAAATTCAATACTGCTCGAAACACACTCTGAAGTCAATAACCCAGCAGTAAAAGCAGCAGCACACACACAAATGTCTCATCTTATTCCACAAGCCACCATTTCCTCCCACACAAAATTCCCATCAAAACATCAGCTTCGAATTCTTACCTGAGCTGTCCAGTTGAAGAAGCAGCAACTTGTTTTTTAATTTTTACTTTTTTTTTTTAAATAATTCCTCGGCACTTAAATCCCTTTTCATGTATATTGGATGTTTAGGAAGAGGGAAATAGTCTTCCTGGGAAAGAAAAAAATCATGCAAATAAATCATGCAACAGGAAAGCTCATAAATCTGCATTTATATTGGAAGTAAAACTGAACTCACCAGAGGTGATTTACTGCCTCTAATAATGAATGTGACTATTGGGTCCTTAGATTTTCATTAGTGTGGTGAAAGAATTTATTTTATGTGCAAATATTTAAATACTCGTAGAAAGCAAATGTAAAAATATTGCAAATATTAAGCCCCCAATTACTCCGAGTTATGTGAAAATTCATTGAAAAATAATTTCCTGCCTGCAGAAAAATACATTGTCAAAATCTGGGGTTACTGCTTTGCCCGGGAACCCGAGGAGTTTGATGGCTCTGTTTGGAGACCGGCTGAGGAAATCTGAGCGCTTCCCACAGAAACTGGCAGAGAGCAGGTGGCACATTGGGGATTCCTTATGAGTCATGGAGTTGCTAAGGCTGGAGAAGATCTCACAGAGTCCAACCATTGCCAGCATCATTCCCGATGTCCCCAAGTGCCACCTCCACAGGGCTGTGAAACCCCCAGGGATGGGCACTCCAGCCAGGGCTTGACCACACTGCCAGTGACAAAATTCTCCCCAACATCCAACCTGAGCCTCCCATAGAGTGTCGCAGACATCTTTTATGAAAGATCCTTTCCTTAGGATTTCTCCTCCTGAGAAGCTGGGAGGCCTCAGGAACAAAATGCAAACAATGGTTATCTGCTGCTGTGGGATGCAACAGGGGCATCTGGGATTGGGCTCATGGGGTTGTTTCTAATTAATGGCCAATCACAGCTGGCTCGGACTGTCTTGGTCAGTCACAAACCTTTGTTATCATTCTTTCTTTTTCTATTCTTAGCCAGCCTTCTGATGAAATCTTTCCTTCTATTCTTTTAGTATAATTTTAATGTAATATATATCATAAAATAATAAATCAGCCTTCTGAAACATGGAGCCGGATCCTCGTCTCTTCCCTCATCATCAGACCCCTGTGAACACTGTCACAATGGAGGAGGGAGGAGCAGAACCTGTGAAGGAGCAGAACCTGTGACCTGCTGATGGTTTGGGGGACAGCAAAGGTGAGGAGTCCTTGCTGCCACCAAGGGATCGTGGATTTGTCCTTCCCTGGTGGATGCCAGGATGAGGAGTTCATGGAGCAAGGCCAGAGGAGGCCATGAGGTTGGTAGGAGGACTGGAAAACCTCCCCAGTGGAGCTGGGGGTGCTCACCTGGAGAAGAGAAGGGTGTGGGGAGCCCTTCCAGAACCTTCCAGGGTTGAGGGGATCACAGGGACTTCAGCAGGAGCCGAGGGGACAAGGAGCAATGGGCACAAAGGGAGAGAGGGGAGATTTAGCTGGATATTATTGGGAATTGTTCCCTGGCAGGGCTGGATGGGAGACTGGGAATTGGGAATTGTTCCCTGGCAGGGTGGGATGGGATATTGGGAATTGGGAATTGTTCCCTGGCAGGGCTGGATGGGAGATTGGGAATTGGGAATTGCTCCCTGGCAGGGTGGGCAGCCCTGGCACAGGTGCCCAGAGCAGCTGTGGCTGCCCCTGGATCCCTGGCAGTGCCCAAGGCCAGGCTGGACATTGGAGCACCTGGGACAGAGGGAAGTGTCCCTGCCATGGCAGGGTGGCACTGGGTGGGTTTGGGGTCCCTCCAACCCAAACAGCTCCATGATTCCACGGTGGAGGAAGATGAAGAAGAGCTACAAACACCCTGAGCTCCTTCACAAAATGAACAGCAATGGTCCCCAAGTCCTGCAGGCAGAAGATCAAAGCTCAGACAATTCCCTGCAAGACAAAGCAGAAAACCCCACAAATGTTCTCGTTTCACATCTCCCGCGGTCACACCACAGCCACCAGGACACAAAAGCCTTTTCTTCCTCCAGATGCAGAGTTCTGGTGATTTGGAACCATTTGAGTTCAACTCAAACCAAAAGTAATCTTAATGGCAACGAAAGTTCAGCTCTTCCCTCCCAGCACAGGAGGATGGGAGAGAATTCCTGTCGGGTTTATGTGATTTGGGTTGATCACTCTGTGCCTACTTACCTTAAACAACCAGCTGTGAGCTGCTTTATTTTGCAGAGCTTCAATAAAGAAAATGCTGCAATTTTGTAAATTATAGCCCCGCCATGGATAGCTCCATTTCCAACGTGCTTATCTTGTCTCGTGCTTAAATCAAATCAAACACTTCCCCTAACAGCAAAGCCTGCAAAAACCTGACAGGACAAAATGCAGAGGGAAATCTGAGATGTGATTTACCTTGATTGCCAAAGGCACTTGCCAAAAGAGGATGGAGTACAAGGGGTTTGGTGCAGCCCTCCCTGAGGAGTCAGCACAGAATTCCAGCCATTAGGGAGGCAGATTTCCATCCCCAGAACTCCCATCATTCCCTCATATTTGGATATATGACAAAATGGTTTGGGTGGGAAGGGACCTTAAAATTCATCCCATTCCACCCCTGCCATGGCAGGGACACCTTCCACCAGGCTCCAGCCTGGCTTTGGACAATTTCAATAATTTTAAGCTCTGAAATGTGAGTTTAGAAGACTCAAATGAACTCATTTCCCAAGGAGTGGGGGTGCAGCAGGCACCTCACCAGGCTGCTCCCCTCGCCAGAACGCGCCTGGTCACAGACTCGTGTCCAAAACAAATGTTGGATTTTGTGCTCACCCTCCATTAACTGCCACGAGCACCTTCACTGGGATGAAAGCCTGTTTATCCATTTTAATTGGATATTAAAGTGTGTTTTGTGGCTGCAGCCCAAACATCAGTGGCATATTAACTTACAACAGCTTTAACAACAAGAAACCCAACCCACCGTTGGCACACGGGCAATTATTCTGCAATTATCCAGAAATCACATTAGCCACTAATTGCTCTGGCAGGTGCCTAATTGCTTCTCTAAATAGGGGGTGAGGCTCTACCCCTGGGCTTTCTCCACTACATTGCTGGGCCACCTTTCCTGCAAGCACTGGAAATGTGGAGCAGCAGGAACCAGAGTTTGTTCTGTGGGGGCTTTTCCCAGCCCAAATCCCTGTGTGTGCTCCTCCCTGCCCTGTCCTGGCACCCCCAGCCCAGTGCCACCCTCCAGGGCACAGCTCCTGCCCCTGAGCATCCAAAAGCTGCTCCTGAAGCACCCATGGGGAAATCCCAGCAGGTTTTTAATGAAGTTTGGGCTGGGAAGGGGATTTGGATGTGCCTCGGTGTTCTTGGAGGTCTTTTCCAACCTGAATGGCCCCGTGCCTGGCACCTTCCCAACCCTCCCTGTGTGAGCAGAGTGAAACCTCCCACACCTGCCCCAGGTGTAAATGATCCCATTCCAAGCACAGATAAATAAATATCTTTGTGTGTGTAATTCATCTCCTCTAATTTGAAGACTGTCACAGACATGTTTTATGGAAAATCCTTTCCTTGGGATTTTTCCTCCTGAGAAGCTGGGAGGCCTCAGGAACAAAATGCAAACAATGGTTATCTGCTGCTGTGGAATGCAACAGGTGCAGCTGGGATTGGTCTCATGTGGTTGTTTCTAATCAATGGCCAATCACAGTCAGCTGGCTCGGACACAGAGCCGAGCCACAAACCTTTGTTATCATTCTTTGCTATTCTATTCTTAGCCAGCCTTCTGATGAAATCCTTTCTTCTATTCTTTTAGTATAGTTTTAATGTAATATATATCATAAAATAATAAATCAGCCTTGTGAAACACGGAGTCAGATCCTC